TTTTTTTTGGGGAAAAAGTGTCAAATTGGCCCCCAAGTCAAACGGATAGTGCAATTGAGTCTCCTAAGTAAAAAAAGTTTCATTTCAATTCTCTAAACCTGTAAAAAAGTTCAATTAAGTTCAAAATTACATGTCTTCTAATGCTGACATGTGTCTTTGTTTTATTTTTTGTTTATATTATTACTATTATTATTCTTTTAATTTTTTATACAACCACCGGCTATAGAAAGCCGGTGGCTGTACTCAAGGACAATCATAGTTGTCCTGCGACAGCCACGACTATCCTAAGTCAAGGACAACCATTGCCGTTCAACATCCCAACAACCGGTGTCACAGTCGTCGTTCCAGAGGATTTCATTATTGCTGTTTCCGAACCCAAACTATTCTCCACACTGCCCCCAGTTGACGGAAGTATTCCAGACATCATTCTTTTTGTGTTCGCAGTACTAACACAGAGATAAGAAAAGAATTTTCATGATACACCGGGAGCCACTGCGACCATCCAACTTCCGATGCAACAAAACCATTGAGGAGAAGAGAAGGAGGAGAGCGGCGAGGAGAAGCTTCTGCTCCAGCGCACATTTTCAGACCACCCTAACCAACATCTTCCTATCATCACCGCAGTCGCCGGCGGAACCACCACCTTTCTCCATAACGCTCATTTCTCGACAAACTATGGATTCGATTCTTCTGGGTCGACCCTTTAGCAGAATGGAGATAGACATTACTGTTTGGTGAGACATCCATGGCTGTCAACAAAAATTCAAAAATTTTGAATTTTTTTTAGACGGTCATGGCTGTCTCAGACGGCCATAGCCGTCTTTTAGGATAACCACGACCACCATTTTCCATGGTTAACCAAAAAAATTCAAAAATTTTGAATTTCTTTTACACGGCCATGGCTGTTTGAGATAGCCATGCCCGTCAAAAAATAAAAATTCAAGAACTCAGACAGCCATGATCGTCTTTTAGGACAGTCGTGGTTGGCATCGGACAACCATGACTGTCCTTGAGACCTTGAATGAGTACAGCCACCGGCTTTCTACTGTCGATGGCTGTATAAATAATTTTAAATAATAATAATAACAATAATAATATTAGTATTAATAAACAAAAAAAAAAAAAAAGACACATGTCAACATTAGAAGACACTAACCTATCAATGAAGGTTTTTTTATTTTTTATTTAGCGAACTCAATTGCACTATTTGCTTGACTTAGGGGCCAATATGATTTTTTTTTTTTTTTAATATTTACTCAGCAGTCAATTAGCTCCGCATTTCATTGACAGGATACTGACCTGGACTCGAATGCCCGGCCAACAGTAGGCACTTATATTCTTCTTTCTTTAACCAGGTGGCCGGAAAAAATGGTGAGAAGAATTGGAAACCGGTGAAAGTTAATCCCGATGACCATCTCAAAGTCCCGATATTCCCCGTCGGGAAGCCGTTGGAATTCTACGACTATTGTTTGTCGGAGTATCTGACGAAGATAGCCATGGATCCATTCCAGGAAACCCGACCGTTATGGGAGATTCACATATTCCGGTACCCGACGAGCAATGCAGCCGGGAACTGTATCTTCAAGCTCCACCACTCGCTCGGAGACGGCTACTCCTTGATGGGAGCTCTTCTTTCTTTCCTTCAACGGGCTGATAATCCGGCGCTGCCGCTGACATTCCCCCGGCGGGAAGGGAGCGGCAAGAAGCAGGGGGAGAATAGCAACGCCGTCGCCAGGGCGTTCAAGGCCGTGCCGAGGTTCTTGTCCGGCGTTGTCGACACGGTGACGGATTTTTCCTGGAGTTTTCTGAAGAGCAGTTTGATTGACGACGACAAAACGGCGATTCATTCCCAGGATGACGGCGTCGAGTTCCGGCCGATCTCCGTTACTACCATGACGCTTTCGCTTTACCATCTGAAACAGATAAAATCCAGTCTTAACGTCACGATCAACGACGTGATTTCGGGGATAGTGACGTACGGAACGAGATTATACATGCAGGAAAGCGAGAGAGAAACATGCAACGGGGAATGCACGGCGCTGGTGCTGTTCAACACCAGGGCGATCGGAGGTTATAGGTCGGTGAGCGAGATGATCAAACCCAACGTGGAAATGCCATGGGGAAACCGGTTTACGTTTCTCCCCTTCGCGTTACCCAAACTGCGGCCCCCGGCCGGCACCGGCGACGGCGACTCGTCCAATCCCCTCCAGTTTATCTACAAAGCCCACCGCATGGTCAAGCGGCAACGGAATTCCGCGTCCGTCTATCTCACCAGCCAGCTCCTCGAATTCTCCAGAAAGCTCAGGGGCCCAGAGGTATGTCCGCGAAGTGTTTGACAAAATGCAATTTATTGTCCATTATTAGTATCCTGATGTTTAGATTTAGTCCATTAGATGTTTATATTTTGTGTATTAAATACTCCATCCATCTTATTTTACTTATTTTACTTTCCTTTTTAATTTGTCACAAAATAGTGTCAATCTTTTCAAAATTAAAAATATCTATCACTCTACATTCCCCAATAACTGAAGACGGTGACAATATATCGCCGGAGAATGGTTGGTTGCCTTCTCCGTCATTGGAGAAGGTGACCAGGTTTGGTTGCTTCCTATTGGAGATGGCGACTTAATTGGTATTGGTAGCCTATGTGTCCCTTAGAGATGGCAATCAGTTTCACCATCTCTAGTCACTAGAGAAGGTGACTAACTGTTCTCCGACAATATGCTAGTCGCCGTCATCAATTTTTTCACTAGAATATGATCGAACGACGAAGTGACATGTTATTACAGGTCATAATATATATTTGGGTCTTGATGCACTAAATCAACTTCTTTATGTACCTAAAATTTTTTAAAAGTTTGAAAGAATAATTAACTTTTCAGGTAAAGATTGGTGGTGTACTTGATCATTTTCCCTATTAAAATAAATTTTCAATATATTAAAAGTGAACGTTCAGTATGCTAAAAATGAACATAATCCACAATGTTGGCCATGGTCAATAGTATAATTTGTCCTACTTCATCCAAGATATGAAAATGTCATATTTTTGACAACTCCTGCCAAGTTGATTGGACTAACTTAGACTCCAACTAAAGAATCTTCTTAATTTGAGTCGATTTTTTCAAGACTGACTTTACTTAAATCGCACATTTAAATAGCGGTTGCACGATCATATTTTCTCAGATTTTTACCCTTAATTTAATGGATTTAAAATTTATGGTGAGAGGTTAGGTATATTTGTACAATAATTCTTCAGCTCTTATAATTAATGGATGGTTACAGGCGACTGCACAGTACATACATGGAACGTTAAGGAACACAAGCGTTACCATAACGAACATGATTGGTCCGATAGAAGAAACCACCCTTATTAACTATCCAGTCAAGGGCATGTACTTCGTTGTAGTCGGCGCCCCTCAGGTACATATCCAGACTTCCTTTATATATATATATATATATATATATATATATATATATATATATATATATGTGTGTGTGTGTGTGTGTGTGTGTGTGTGTGTGTGTGTGTGTGTGTGTGTGTGTGTGTAAATAAAGGAAGTGGCATATATGTTTTCACTGATTATGATTATATTGGTTTGGTATGACGGTTTGCAGAGTTTATCAGTGACGATGGTGAGCTACGTGGGAAAATTGAGACTCGCCATTGTGACGGAGAAAGATTTCATAGATGGGAAGAAACTGAAGTCATGTATTAAGTCTGCTTTTGATGAAATCTTCAAATTAACAGTCAAATCTTCTCCACCTGCATGAATATATATACACATAGTCTACCAATATTCCTGCATGCATATGCTTATATATGTGTGTGTATGTTTTTTTTTTTTTTGAAAATATGTGTGTGTATGTAATTTCGTGTTGTTTTCTCCAACATTTGTATACCTCAGAAGTTATGAGGTTAGTAGTGTTAAGTACAAACACAAGTGTGTAGTTTGCCTATAGTTGAAACCAAACATATATATCATTATCGGGGTGAGATTCATGAGAAAAGTTATGGGGTTAACTATGTCGAGGTGTTTGTGTTGCCTTTCAAAAATTGAAGTAATCCCTTCAATTTTTTATTATTTATTTTTTGTTTTCAAACATAGAAATAAATGCATTAAAACATTCCAATCATAGTGTTGTTTTTTGGGCATCATGCCAATGGACAGTCGTTATATCGTAGGTGTACCGCGATATAAAACGGCGCCGTTTCTTTAAGTAAAGAAACGGTTCGCCGTTACAGTTAATAGAGCGCGCATGTTTGGTGTATTAAACACCAACTGAAACTATAGTATATTTAAACAGACACTGCCTCACGTATTATTTTTATATTATCAAGTGAAACTGCAATTGAAATGAAATGAAACTGTAGTTGTGTTGAAATGAAACTGAATAACAATTTCACATATTTGAGTGTATATTACCCAATGAAACTGTAGTTATATTAAAATGATACTGTAGTTGTGTTGAAATGAAACTGCAGTATATATAAAATGAAACTGAATAACATTTCACATTTTTTTTTTTTGAAAGTGAATAACATTTCACATATTTGAGTGTATATTGTGCAATGAAGCTGTAGTTATATCAAAAATTCAAAATGATCATGCAGTTGTGTTTTAATGAAAATATAGTGTATATAAAATAAAATTAACTAACATTTTCACATATTTGAGTGTATAAATATCGAATGAAACTGTAATTATATCGAAATGAAACTGTAGTTCTGTTGAACTGATACTGCAATATATACAAAATGAAACTGAATAATAGAGTTACTTTTTGCCGGACGGCGCAAAACAAGTGCCGTTTCTTTTATTAAACAAAACGACGTCGTTTTGAAGCGCGGTGCATAATCGATTATGCACTCGGTGCACGATATAATTTGCTGCCAGTGGGCTAGTAGGCCATACAGAATGATATACATATTGGGCTCTACAAATTTTAAGGGCTTAATTCATTTAACTGCATAAGTAAAACCTTCGAACAAAATATGGGCTGTAGATCTACTCATGTATCATCGTTCCAATATTTTGGATTCGCCGGAGAGAATGTCTGATAAAATCTACTCCGTATAACTTTTCTTGTGCTTGCTTGGATGAGTAATACTCAGAAGTTAATGAAAGCTACAGACTTGGGAGTTTTTAATCTTTCCAATATGATCTGAAGTTCAGGTATGCCCTTCGCTGTTTTAAGTAATACTGCCCTCCATTTGTTCGATGAAATGCCCAGTTGAAAGTTCTCCAAAACTGTGTGTTTGAGAGTGTACTCTTTTTCAAATGTTCCATATAAAGGCGGAAAGAGAAATATTCTAATTAGGCAAATAGCGTTTTCGAGATTCTATATTGCATAATGTTTTTTGTTTTTTTTTTTTTTTTGCTGTATATATTTCCAAAAAAAAAAAAAAAAAATCTGCCTTTTTTTAATCTAAACCTTCAGCTCATGGTCATGGCCACTTCAGATTTCAAGACAAAAAAATTCAGATTTCAGACCGCCATTTAAAAAAAAAAAAAATCAGACTTTAGCCTCCAGTGAAATCAGCAGCATCCGGCAGCTCCGGCGCTCCGCAGACCGTAGCGACTACCGGCAGCCCTCTGCTCCGCCTTAGACCCTCCGTCGTCCGGCAGTAGCAGTAACTGGTTCGAATCCATAGAGTTTATTATTATATTTGCAAAATTAATTTGTGAGCTTTATGTTTATTTGTTAAATGTATAATGTGTTAATTTGTTATTGATATTAAATGGTGAGATTTATAACTAAGTTAATTAAGACATCTCTACACAAGAAGATCAATGAAGATATATTAAAGGAAAATGATTGCTTAGTGGCCAAAAAGATTTTTTTTTTTTTTTTTTAACCTCATTTCCATGAATGCAATCTTTCAATGTCTAACCCTGGTTTCACCACTGTTCAGACCCACACCAAAGTTTTAATCTTGCATACGTGACTTTGTAATGTGTATCTTGGCAATGTGAAACTGGCCATGTAATTTCTCTTCCCTTTATCCAACATTTGTTAATTGTTACTGAAAAAAAATAAATTAACAGTAATAAAATAAATTGAAGCTTTAGTAGTTTAGTATCGATGTGAATTTGTTGTTATCTCATTTTATTTGTTGATCAATCCTGATTATGATATTATACTCCGTAATCAATTACTACATCCAATTGTGTCAATCCTTTGTCTTATGCTATCTTCTTTTCTCTCTTCTTCTTCCTTAGTGGACAGTTAAACTTCTTAGTTTTGAGGAGAATGGTTCTTGTTTTTTAGCTTCCATATGATGAAGGCCATATCGCTTCCTTGCAAGGTATCTATAACCTTCTTGATGAGTTGAATAGTTAAAAGAAAATGCTTCTTACCCCTCTTGAATTTCGCCTCCTGATGTGGCTTCCATTCATTGGGTGCCCATCAATTAGCTAATCCACCACTAATCAAAAGAGAATTTAGTAACCAATTAACTAATGTCATATCATGAGGGATGGATTGGAGGAGAAAAATATGAGGGGTATCTAGCATTTTTTATAGTTAAATGAGTCCGCATGTTTAGTGGTCTTGCTATGTGTGTAATGATGATTTTCCCACTGCATAAAGCACATGGTCTTACCAATTTATATCAGACAAGATTCCCTAAAATAGCAGTTTCCCAAAAAAAAAAAGAAATACTCTGTATGCAAAGAGCTTAGTTTTAAAGTATTTGGGAACTTATTTTATTCTGAGTTTGGAATATTTTAATTTGTTGATGCCTGAACTGCTTAATTTATGTACTATAAACTTCATTGTGTTGCAGGCATTGACTTTTCCAGTTTCTAAATTTAGTGGGCAAAATCAGAGGAAAGCAAATAGAGTGAGAATGGAGCTCTCAATTACACAACCTGATGATTGGCATCTTCATCTCCGTGATGGTGACCTTCTTGAAGCGGTTGTCTCTCACAGGTTTATTTCTTTATTAATTTCAACTTGTGAATTTGACAGAGTCAATTCCAGAAACTAATATTTATTCAGATCTAGCCTATCTTTCCCCTTCTTTTCTCTGTTGAATGCAGTTTTATGCCTTGATTTTGACTACTTTTTTTTATGTATATAGTGCACGTAACTTCGGGAGGGCAATCATCATGCCAAATCTGAAGCCTCCTGTCACCACCACTGCTGCAGCTGTTGCATACCGGGATTCCATCTTAAAAGCATTGCCTCCTAATTCTAATTTTATGCCCCTTATGACACTATATTTGACAGATACAACAAGTCCTCTTGAAATTAAACAAGCCAGTGAGTTCAACATGCTTTCCATTGGGACACATCTTATCTTTTAATCAGTCCACTGCATGGAGATATTATAAAACAACAAATTGGAATATATACATAGAGTACATTCTTCTGTCTCCATGTTGTCATGCTATTCTATGTTTGTATGGGTGAAAAGAATTTAGATTTAATTTGGAATGTTCTCATGGCCACTATAAAGTGTCAAGTTGAAATTCAAAATTCGTTGGCTTTCCATACTTCCATCTAGTTACACTTTGGCATGTCACAGGGCAAAGTGGAGTAGTATATGCTGTAAAACTTTATCCTGCTGGTGCTACAACAAATTCTCAGGATGGTGTCACTGATCTTTTTGGAAAATGTTTGCCAGTTCTCGAGGAAATGGTTGAGCAAAATATGCCTCTTCTGGTAACTTCTTTGTGCCCAATAATTATAGTTTTCATCATGAAGAATGTAATTTTTCTGTGGTGTTACGTAATTAGCTATAAGAGATGTTAACTGCAGGTCCATGGAGAGGTAACTAGCCCAGAGGTTGATGTATTTGATCGAGAAAAGGTATTCATTGAGACAGTTTTAGGCCCTTTGGTTCAGAGACTTCCACAGTTGAAGATTGTGATGGAGCACGTCACCACCTCGGATGCTGTGAAGTTTGTAGAATCTTGCCGTGAAGGTATTTTATCACTGGATTTGCCTTTTTCATTGAGACAGTTTTAGCCCCTCGTTTATATCTGATTAAAACCATTTTTTTTATAGGATCTGTTGCAGCCACTGTCACTCCACAACATCTTGTTCTAAACAGGAATTCTTTGTTCCAAGGGGGACTGCAGCCACACAATTATTGTCTTCCCGTACTTAAAAGAGAGATCCATAGTACATCTTTACCCTCTCTTTTCTGTATATGCTATTTCCCTTTCCTGATTCTTTTTCATTTTTGGATCGAGGTCTTGTGTCAGGAACACTTTTTTGGTCCCGCTAAAATGAATTTAGATAAGAACATGAGGTGTTCATGGAATAATCTATATTTTTATGATATGCTCCAATGTATTCAACGCAGGACAAGCTATTGTCTCAGCGGTGACGAGTGGCAGCAAACGATTTTTCCTCGGAACTGATAGCGCCCCGCATGATCGAAAGAAGAAAGAATGTCCATGTGGATGCGCTGGTATTTACAACTCTACCGTAGCCTTGTCAGTGTACGCAAAGGTTTTCGAGGAGGTAAATTCTATCCCCCATTGTGTTCAATTTCTTCGCTTAATCATACCCGTGTTTGATGATTGATTGATTGTCCTCGTTGTTGCCTTTAGGCTGGTGCCCTCGACAAGCTAGAAGCATTTACAAGCTTTAACGGACCAGATTTCTATGGCCTCCCGAGGAACACAACCAAAATTAAACTGACTAAAACTCCATGGAAGGTACCAAAATCGTATCCTTATGCATCTGGTGACGTGATCCCCATGTTTGCCGGTGAAACATTGGACTGGCAGCCATTCTCTCTATAAGCATATTAGAAACATTTTCAGAATAAGGATGTTGGCATATGATGTTGGAACATCATAATAAAACCAACAAACAACCTTAATTAGCTACTGCAGAAGGGATGATAATCTTATTCTGTGCATTGGATGCCAACTTGTAAACAGCTTTTTAGTTAACAATTAAGTTGAAATTTACGCCTCGATTATCTGCGTCTTATGATGTTAAACCTCTTAATTAAGAAGAAATATTAGTATTTTTGTTTACAATATAGGGTTTATTCTTCACACTCTCGGGTAGTAGCTATAGCTTATAGGTTTCTCTCATCACTCAAAATTAGTATTTCTTCATTTTCAATATCATAATCCCATAACTCTAGTCGTGATGATGACTCCGTTTCGGTGCTGGCCGTCCCACTTATCATTTCTTTTAGTTTCTTTGACACTGACGTTATTGCTCCGTTACTCACTGCCCATTTCCCAACCTGCAACAAATCAAAACGTACCATTCGTTACATCAAATCTTATATCCTTAATATTAATGAATATTGAATATGTTGTATGTTTACATTGAATCTTATATCTTATATATAAGATGCTTTTTGGTACGTGTAAAATTATACCCTCTATCATATAATTGTATATTATATGGAGTACTTCTTACTATATATGTCATTACTTTTCGATTTGATGCAGAGTTATTGGTTCGGATATTGTAAGGTTTAAAATGGCCACTGAACGAAAAAAAGTGTAATTAGGTTACAGAACACTCTAAAAACGTGCAATTAGGCAGTTGAACAACTCCGAATGTATGCAATTTTACTGGATAGCAGGTTACCATCAATTTTAGCAGATTATTTGCTTACGTGGCAGCTGAGTTGGCATTTTATGTGTGAAAATGCATATAAAAATATAATTACCGGTTCACCGACAACAATCTGCAACGTTGAGTTACCGTGGAGTTGAAAATTGGCGCTGGCAACTTCAACACCTTCTTCTCCTCGGACCACTCGAATAACGTTGTTGAACGTGGCAACGTTGTCGAGCCCAGTGATGAAAACGACCGCCATGGCAGGACCCATCTCGTGAATTTGAATCTGAGGATGAGGCTCCACATGAAGACTATGATGACTTGACGACGACGCAGAACTGTTCATTTTTCTGCTCATTTGCACCTTCGTCAGCTCTTCTCTTTGATGCTTCATCTTCTCCAACTTCTCTTTCAGCGTCTTTATGTAATTGATTGTAACGTCTACTTGATCTGGCAATGGCAGCGTTTCCTGCACCGTTCATATGTATAAAGCATCATTAATTGTATGCTTTCCTTGTACCTATGACTCATAGAGTTTTCACATCACATATACATCAATGCATGCAATTAATATTGAAAGTACAATCTAAATATCTAATAGGCATACACATTTCTTTTGGTTTAGGGAAAACCCGATTCCACTATCTGAAAGTGCCCTCTGTGTGGAGTCGGTCTTGTGATCGCAAATGACCACAATAAGGTAAATCAACCTTATATATACCTGGCCGGCTCAAACCAAGGTCAATAAATATCTCTCCGGAGAGTCGAATTTGAACATTATTGTATTCACTAAATCAGTTGCTAGATAGACTAGCTTGGCTGGGGTTATATGACATACACACATTTCTATAATGTAGGAAAATACGTAGACTATTATAAATAGAATTATGTGGAGATTATTTATTTATAGTAAAATAATCTCACCTAGTAGGTACATATAATTCTATCAATGATATGATACCTTGATCGAAATGGAACTAGGTATAGGGTTGTCAAAAAAAAAAGAAAAGAAATTAAAGCTAGGTATAGGTAGATATACTATGTTCTTGTTTATATTTCATGCAGGCATTATATATCATGCACACTCTACATAAGCCTTTATGGACTATTGTTTAAAAAATCTTTAGTACATAGATTTCCAAAGCTATGCAAATTAACAAACCCTCTCATAGATTATCTTAAAGGTCACAACATTAGATACCTTTAAAATTGACTACATAATCGAGCAACTACTCGTTGTCATGTTAAAACGTTTAATTTTTAATTTTATTGATTTGAAAATTGAGGCAACGAAAACGCTTATCTAGTATTGGTTTTCAAAATTTTCACTTTTTGCATCTATATTGTACACGTCTGTAGTAGTACAATTTGATTTCACAGACGCGAATGACACTTTCTGTACTAGTGATCCTAATGAATTGTACTGGACACCTTTGAAACACTCACAAAAACACAGAAATCTGCAGATTTATGTAGGAAAATCATGGCTTAATTGGTTAAAATTAACCATGAATATCCATGCATGCATGCAGCATCCATGAATGATGTTTTTTTTTTTCTATAAACAGACAGACAGGCAGGGATGGAAACCTGGGACGACGGGACAAGGGAGAAGAGGTGGTTGTACAGCCCCTTCAACTGATTCCTCCTGTTCTTCTCCACATATTTCCTTTCCAGTTTCGGGCCACGCCCACACAACACCGCTGTCTTTTGTACCAGGTTCGCTCGGGCCGTCCCCGGCGGCTGCCCGGCATTCTCCATTAATCTCGCAACTTGTTAGCTTTCTTTCACGGCCACAGCTATATATATCTTGGATTCTATAGCCTTGTAGATTTATTCTTACCCAGAAAGCTGGCTGACTTGCCGTAGTTCTTGAGAGAAGAAATTTATGTTAAAAAAAAAGTTGAAATTGTTGGACACGCCATACAGGATGATTTTGTATGACTTTCCCCATTTCTTGAAAGTATATAATACTGATAAAAGTCGCCAGGTCAAGAAAATCAGAAGACGATGATGAAAGACCGTGTCGTGATGAGACCTCTCGTCAGCATTTCACGTCATCGCCAATCATTAATATAATATTTACAAAATACTTTTTTTTTTTTGAAATAAATATTTACAAAATAATACTACAATTTCGCCCACAAAAATTTTCATCCAAATTCTCAAGAAATTGAATTGGTTCTCATCTACTCAATTAATGCGTTGGAAGCATTAGAGTTTTTGCACTTTTGGTCCCACAGCGTGTCACTAACAACTTTGATCCACGATTTTTAAAACTTGTAGAATTGATCCACGACTATGACTTTCTTAACAAATTTAGTCCTTCCAGTGCATCACTCGTTCAATTTTTGCCAGAAAATTTTACTCTCCATTTTAACATGGGTAATATTGTCTTTTCCAGCTCACAAACTAATGACATAAATAAATAAATAAATAAACAATTAAAATTTTTTTACGTTTAGCGAGGAGGGTGAAACTATTGGAATTTGGTGACTTTTAATTTCAATATATCACCGTACCACTGGCTGTGTTTAATTAATTATTTATTTATTTATTTATTTACTCCCTCCGACCCATTTTATGTGTCTGATTCGGTTAACGAGACTTGGCTGAAGTTATTTTTAATTCAATTTTTCATAATATTAAGTTTAGTATTAGTATACAAAATTTATATATTTAGAAACTACAACAAAAGTACTATTAAACACAAAAAATTAAATTTAAAAATGAATTAAAAAATACTAAAGAAAATAAGCAAAGAAGAAAGAGTTGGTTTGACCAATGAATAGTAAGTAGGACAGATAAAATGGGATAGAGGGAGTATTTATTTATGTCATTAGTTTGTAAGATTGAAAAGACAATATTATCCATGTTAAAATGGGGAGTAAAATAAAAATTCGGCAAAAATTGAACGAACCGGAAGGACCAAATTTGCTACAAAAGTCATAGTTGTGGACCAATTCTACAAGTTTTAAAAATCATGGATTAAAGTTGTTAGTGATACCATAATCGGTAGAACCAAAATTGTAAAAAACTCCATTAACTCTCTCTCCTATTTTTATATGTTCTACTTATTATTTATTAATTAAACCAACTCTTTCTTCTTTACTTATTTTTATTAACTTTTTTAATTTTTAAATTTAATTTTTTATATTTAATAATACTTTTAATATAATTTCTAAATATATAAATTTACATACTAATTCTAAACTTAATATTATAAAAACTTAAATGGTAAATAATTTTAATCAAACTTCATTAACTAAACTTGATACATGTAATAGGACGGAGAGAGTATTTACTTAGCCGCTATATTAGGCAAAAAAATCCTCAAAAGTTAGTGTTTCGCGTTTCATTGCTTCCCATAAATGTATTGAAACTTCATACAATGTTTATAACCCGTTTTCATAATTTTTTTTAAAAAAATATAATGTAAAAATACTTTTTCGAAGAAAAAACTAGTAAGCAAATACTTCAATTTAGTGTTAGTATCGTTGGGCAGAAGCCGACAAATGACCAAATTCAATTCCATGTGATTAGGAAATTGTTAGGCAGAAGTGATGGTTCACATCTCTCTTTGGTGACAATCTTTTGGGCCTCAGGCTCGCAAATTCATCCAGCACGTCTCCAACTGGCTTAGGCTATTCTGTTTGCTTTGCAGGTTGCGCTTCCTCCCTTAGCGCGCCCAGAAATGTTGGTTGCGCCTTCTTTATTCCGCCCACCAACATCATGTCTTAAATGTGCGTGACCTTGACACTCCCTTCTCTCGCCAGTGGTACTAGGCAGGGACCATTCTTCTCGCTGAGGATTAGGGATGGCAATGGGTCGGGTGTGGGTCGGGGAAGGATACATCAATCACCCGACCCACCATATATTTTCTCTACCCATCCCCTCCCCCAATCCGCATCGGGTGGACTTTTTCAAAACCCACCTCCACTCCCATCGGGTGCGGGTGTCCACTACGGGTACCCACCACTAATCATTTTATTATTTTTTTCAAAAGAAATATTTAAATTACTTACACATAATAAAATAATAAAATTCATTAGTGATACTAAAACATAAAATAATAGAAATATTTAAATATAATAACTACATTGTTAATTTTTAAAAATAAACTTAGTAGTTTAGATATAAAAATAGTAAAAATATACACGAAGTTATATAAACTTTTATAAATAACTACATACTAGTACTTATTTTACTATTATATATATATATACACACACACACACACACACACACATGGTGGGTCGGGTGGGGTTCTAAGCGGGTTTTGTACATAAAACCCGAATCCAACCCGACCCACCGCGAATTTACTTTTTTAAGACCCACGCCCACCATCACCCAAAAAACCCGATCCATGCGGGGTGGATTCGGGTGAACATCCGCGGGGTGGATTGAAATTGCCATCCCTACTGAGGATGGCTAGTGTGTTAGCACATTGGATTGGTACGGCATTCACGTTGTCTAGAAATTAATAAATGGTCAAGTCTAACACCAAAGTGGCTAAAGAATTGTTAGGTGGGGGGGCTAAAGGGCCAAGTCTAACACCCCTTCTCGAAAATGTGACAGTATATAAAGAAATAAAATCGATATCTTCACTACGAGACTAGGTCACATATTTGAGTCCCAGCAAAATGTGACGACATATAAAAAAAACATGACTGATAAAATGAGATAGAGAAATAATATTTGTGTATGTATAATATATATATATATATATATATATATATATATATATATATATATATATAGAGAGAGAGAGAGAGAGAGAGAGAGAGTAAGGTTCAGGTGCGGCATCACTAATAGTTCAGCATATATACACTATTAACATTAGAAAATACACCACAAAAAACCCATACAAATTAGGTTCGCATCACCAAAAACACACCATTAGGTGTGAGTAAAAGCACCATACAGTGTTCGGAAATACACCATTGCGGGTGGTGAGTTATATGGTATATTTTTTTTGGTGCGTTGTGTATTTTTTGGTGTTTTTTTTTTCATTTCACTATAGTGTGTTTTTATTACACTGTTGGTGCATGTTGTTAATACTATTAGTGTATTTCTAGAATCCCACCGCACCACCGTATATGAACTCTAATATATATATATATATATATATATATATATATATATATATATATATATATATATATATATATAAAGGTGTGAGTAAAAGCACCATACAGTGTTCGGAAATACACCATTGCGGGTGGTGAGTTATATGATATATTTTTTTTGGTGCGTTGTGTATTTTTTGGTGTTTTTTTTTCATTTCACTATAGTGTGTTTTTATTTCACTGTTGGTGCATGTTGTTAATACTATTAGTGTATTTCTAGAATCCCACCGCACCACCGTATATGAACTCTAATATATATATATATATATATATATATATAGAGAGAGTTAATTCCAGCAATGGTCCCTTGAGTATGGTGATTTTCCACAATTGGTCCTCGACTTTTAATTTGGACAATTTAACCACCCGACTATTAAAATCTTTCCAATTGTAGTCCTTCCGTTAGATTGGAGTTAAGTGAAAGTTAATTTGAGGGGTAAAAACGTCATTTCCCTGAATTCATCATCATCACCGCACGCTGTTCTGTCACTTCTGTCCAGCACGGAGCGAGGAGAGGGGAAGGCGGCGACGGCGAGGGAATCCGGCGGGTTCTCGACTTTCTTGCCTCTTTCCACTCTCCCGTCTGTCTTCGTTCATGCGTTCCTTCACAAGCGTAGAAACAATTTTCAGTGTTGTTCTCACATCTCTGTAAGGAGAAAATGCATTGGTGACATGCTCCAATGGATAGAAATAACAGAGCCAAGCAACACCAAGGCATAATACGTAGAGGGAAGTAATGTAAATGTTCATATCTGATTTGTTATAACTGCCTCTTTTCCCTCCTTCCTTCTTGTATATATTGGATGTATTCTCTTTGTATGAGTAAGGTTCTGGACATTCTGTTTCAATGAATAACACCACACATCATTGCTTCATTTCTCACCTTCCATAGCTCATTCCATCATGGTATTAGAGCACAGACACAGCACCTATGCCGCCGCACTCTCCGGCGTCGGCAACACTAATCAGGAAGCACAAGCCGCTACTCCAATCACTCAAACTCCGATGCAAGCAGCTTCCGACGCGATTCCGCAGGGGAATCTATCCAATCAGACGCCAAGTAGCTTCCAAGCGAATTCTATGCAGGGAGGAAGTGGGGTTCATGTAGCACACTTTTCTTTCCTCGCAACATTTAACTTGTTGGGAAACCTATTTCTCTCTCACGATTTGGTAGATCTTATGTCAGATAAAGCTTCAAAGTTTTTCAATGCCTTGACAGGCGTCGCACAGTGGTTTGGCACTCCAAACATTTCAGACATATTCCCAGGTCTTAGGTGGCTAGACTTGCAGAGTTTAAGAAGGAAGGCTGACAGAGATGTGAGAACAACACTGGAAATTGTTTCTACACTTGTGAAGGAACGCATGAACGAAGACAGACGGGAGAGTGGAAAGAGGCAAGAAAGTCGAGAACCCGCCGGATTCCCTCGCCGTCGCCGCCTTCCCCTCTCCTCGCTGCGTGCTGGACAGAAGTGACAGAACAACGTGTGGTGATGATGATGAATTCAGGGAAATGACGTTTTTACCCCTCAAATTAACTTTCACTTAACTCCAATCTAACGGAAGGACTACAATTGAAAAGATTTTAATAGTCGGGTGGTTAAATTGTCCAAATTAAAAGTCGAGGACCAATTGTGGAAAATCACCATACTCAGGGGACCATTGCTGGAATTAACTCTATATATATATATATATATATATATATATATATATATATATATATATATATATATATGTGTGTGTGTGTGTGTGTGTGTGTGTGTGTGTATGTGTGTATTTTTTATATTTATATTTTAAT